GTCCTGTGGGGATGCTTCCAAGTTCCACAGGGTTTTGTGGACTGTTTGCTGCTGCGTCCTTAGCTGGAATGCTGTTGGACAGTGAGGTTTTGTTTCTAATGGGAAACGAAGGAAAGTTCTGCTTCATTGTTGGGTGCTGACGTTTGGTTCCTATCCCAGTAGTGGCTGTCCCCGTGCTCCTCCCCATCCCCAGCTGCACTGAGGCTGCTCATTCCCTGCACCGACAGTGTGGGCGTCTCTCCTGAGCTGGCTGGAGCTAAGCCCTGCTAATCCAGCACATGCTGCCTGCAGGTGTCCTTGGCAGCTCCCTGTGGACTGGAAACCTCCCGGGACCTGGCAGTGGTGGGCAGATGGCCACGATGGAGCTGGGGACATCGAATGGATCAGCCAAGGGTGCCATAGATGGGAGAATTCCCCAGGGCGTTGCATGGTGAATGGTTGGAGAAGGCTGTGGAGCCCAGCACCCCTGTGTGCTGAGCTGAGGACCCTCCGAACCACAAAGCCATGTGTCCCATCCACACCACGGCCCTGGTGCCATCCCAACCCTGCAGCCCCCATCTCCATCAGGGCCACAGACAGCACAGGGGCCGCTCCGCTTTCCAGAATCATCATTAACCTGTTAGGGAGAGCTGTTCCCGCTCACGGCGAAAATAGATCTTTAATCTCTGCCCAAAATAGCTCATTTGATGAGAGGCCTCCTTAAAGCTGACACATAAATTTAACCAGGCCGCCCCAGCCCTCCGCAAGGATGTCTGCAAATGCTCAATAGCACTCGAATTGTTTTTTTCTTTTTAATTCCATTGTTACGTACGCATCTGATACCTTATTTCTTCCATCAGATCATTTGTAACAGTCAGGAGGCAATTTACTTCTGTCCTCTGATTCAATTTGTGCTTTGTGCTCCCGCAGCCATTCGGCTCGCAGGGTCATCGCGGCTTTTGTGGCCCTGCATGCAAGCAGAAGGCTATTGGGTGGGCTTTATGTTCTTCTTTCATGTCGGCTTGCTGCCTGCGTGGGTCCCACTCTGCATCCTGCTAGGATGCTCAGAGCTCCCTCTCATCTCCGTGCTGCTCCAACACTCGGGTGCTTGTTGCAGCTGGTGATGCTGGTGACAGGCGGTGCCAGCCCGGCTGTGCTGCCCTGTCCTGACCTGTCCCAGCAGCTGGGATGGAGCTGCATTGTTACAGTCCCCATCCCCACGTCCTTTGGTCCCCATGCCCATCAGTCCCCGTCTCCTTGCTGTTCCCTTGTGTTGCTCGAGGTGGATTGGAGGCTCTTAAAGGGGAGGGGGTGGGGAAAGGGCAGCAAGGTGTTTCCTGTGTAAGGAAAGGCAGGTGCTGGGCATGCCATGGGTAGAGATGCTGGATGTGTTGAATGAGCAACCTTGCTCTGAGCGCTGAGGCCATGTGCCCGTCCTCATGTCCCCATGCAGGAACCATCCTGTCCCCACGCATGGCGTGTTGGGTTGCAGCCAGTGCCTCCCTTCTGCATTCTCCCTCTTTGCCTTCAGTCCCCAATCTCTCATGTGATGCAGCAGTTTGGAGGAGCGTGGGGCCTCACACATGTGCCTGCTTGGTTTTGGGTTGTGGCTTTGAACCTGAGCTTGGGGAATGTGCTCTTCGCACACCAGGGTCCCATCCATGTGCCTCACTGCTCGCTGTTCCCACAGAGCACCGCACAGCCTTGCACCCCACACCCTAACCCAGAATAATCACTTTCAGCATCATTATCCACCACAAACCCCGGCTTCCAATTTTAATCAGAGGAGCTGGTGTCGCTTTAAGATCTGCGGGTTTTAAAGATCACAAGAGGGGTTAGAGAAAATTACCCTTGACTCTTACATGCTAATGTAATCTCTAACCAGATCTGCAGCACCGCAGCTAAAATTGCTTTTTAGATTAACATTTAATTATTAACAGGGCCCCCTGAAAGGCCCGGGGCTGGAGCACGGAGGGGAGCAGGGCGACGGTTCAGCCCAGCCCTGCTGGAGACGTTTGCCGTGTGGAGGGGAAGGTCGTGGGCGGCCAGAGGCAGCGTGCCGTGCTTTATTGCAGCCCTGGGCAAGGTGTCATCAAACTTTCTTTTCTATTTTATCTCACGCTCCCCGTGATTTACCGCAGGGTGACCTTTCCTGCATTCACTCATTCCTGCGCTGCGCTGTCGGCATCGTGTGGTGTGTCCTCCTCCTGCCCCGTTCCCGTTGCCAGACACCCTGTGTGGCTCAATGACAAGGTCACGTAGCATCCCTGTTCTGCCCCTCTCCATCACCCCCAGATTCCCTTTGTGTGGTTTCCATGCCCGCTGCCCAGCCAGGCTGTGTGCTGGGGACGTGGTGCCCGCTCAGCTTCGTTAGCGCTGGGCAGGGATGCACGGCAGCAGCAGACACGGCCCTTTCTTTCCCTAACAAGGGGCCAGCTTCTGCAATCCCCTTTATTCATTGTTCTGCTGAGGCGAACGGCACAGACCCAATTCAGGCTGAGACTTTGAAAGTTCCCTTTCTTCCCCCCCCCCTCCTGTCACATTTTCTTTTATCTAAATCCTCGCCTATGAAAGCCTCTATCGACAGCTGCGCTGGCCTTATCTCGCTGGAGGGACCTTCGTGGGGCTCTCAGAGGAGATAAGACCTTCTTATCGGCCTCTGATGTCAGAGAAGGTGCCAAACCCTTCTGTCATTGGAGCTTTAGACACAGAGGGTGTTTTGTTTTTTTTTTTTTTTTTTTTAAATTAAAGTCACAAAGACCTTGGGTTTATAAATAGTCCGATGGAGCGATAGGGCTTGGAAATTAGCAGGGTGGGGGGCGGGGAGTGAGGCAGTGGGAATGGAGCTGGGATGGAGGCAGGAGGAGGAGGATGGTGGGGACGCAGCGTCCCCAACCCTATGGGAGCAGAGCAGTGTCACCTCCTGCTCCCTGCACGCCCCTGGGTGATGGGTGATGACGTGCCCTGTGCTGGCACACTGCAGTGACAGCACCTGCTGCGGCCTCGCTGGCTTGGGGCCAGCCTTGTCCTTGTCCCCATCCCGTCAGTGGAAGGAAGATGGGTTCTGGAGCCCTTTGCTGCAGCGCCGTGGGGCTGTAGGGCCGGGCAGCTCCATCCTCAGCCCGTTGCCCTGCTGTGATTTGTGTGGCCGTGGGCTGGGCAGGGGCTGTGCGACACGGGGCAGGGCAGAAAACTGCTGAGTGTTGCCTTTCTTGCCGTGAAAGAGCCAGAGCAGCTTGAACTAAATCGGATCCTGCTGATTGGAATTAGTTCAAATGCAGATGGAGCTAACTAAGCTGGCGGTAAGCATTTGAACGGTGCAGCGTCCAATTCCCATCAGCTGATTCAAGGGCTTTTCTGGGCGGCATTAACAAAATGCCACCGAGCGGACAGATGCCCATTGTGCGGGGGGCTGATGGGCTCAGCCTGGTGCCAGGCTCGGACCCGAGCCACCCATATGGGATGCAGGGACGAGGTGGCTTTCTGGGGCAGCGCAGGGGTTGAGGTGATGTCTGCTGCCGTCATCCGGATGGTGACGGCCCAGGGTGGGGGTCCCATCCTCGGTCCCATGGCCAAAGCCATCCGCTGGGAGTGGGGGATGCAGCCGAGCCCGGTCCCGGTGGGGCGACGGCAGCTCCCGAGCAGTCAAGTGTGCTCAGGCTCTGAATAAGAAGCACTTCATTCTCTTTTCAAACTGTATAATTTCTGCCTGATTGTAATGGCATATTTTAAAATTACCAGAAATCGAAGCCAGAAAATGGATACGGCTGCTTTTACTGCGAGCTGCATTAACAAAGGATATGTAATGCGCGAAATAAAAACACCTCCCTGCCCCCCCCTCCTCCTTTTTTTAAGACAGTAATAGGAGAAAATTGGTTTTGAAACTGAATAAAAGTCCCTTTCAGAGGAAATCATTTCTTTCAGGGTACCTTTGCTGAAAGTAAAATAGTGAATAATGAAAGGTGGTTACATGATTGTCTTTCATTTAGAGAGCGCTAGGACAGATGGAATCTGGGAGAAATGCAAGATTGGAATAATTGCATGGTAACAAGGCGCTTGTTGTGAAATTAGTATCTTAAGAAAGTAGTGAAAAAGGCTTTTACTCATGAATACTTCATTATTAGGAGAAAACAGCACCATTTGGGTTCTCCAGACACCTGCTCCGTGTGTGATGGCTCTTCCTCGCCTCTTGCTCCTCACACTTTGCTCTCAGAGTCTCTGTTCCTGAATTTTGCAGTGCTGGAGGCCACCGTATCCCCACCCTGGGGATGAGGCAGGAGCTTGTGGTCCCAAGCCCACACTGGTCAATTCAGAGATGGGCAGAAGTGGTTTGCTACCAGGTGGATGTGAGGGAGCGTTCCAAGGGGTGAGGATGGAGCTTGATGAGCAGTGCTTACCCCAAGCACCCGAAGCACCAGACTGTGGTGGAGCTGGGGAAGCGAGGCACCCTCTGTGACATCCAGCCCTGACATCTCACACAGACCAGAAGCTGCAGTTGAGGATGGGTTTGCTGTCGCTGCCCGCTCTGTGCACAGTGCTGCTGCCGTGCCAGCGGGAGGCATTCACTGTGGTTCCTGCAGGACATGCTGTGTGCAGGACGTGCAATTCACAGATCAGTGGTGGAGATGCTTTTGGCCTGACCCCTGCAGATTTCCCAGCCGGATTTTGGCACACCCCAGGAACCAAGCGGGATTTTGCTGCCTGCAGGCCGAATCCCTGCTGTGCATCCAATGGCTGCAGCTGTCCCCGGGAGCAGGAGGAGCTGCTCTGTTTCTTGCAGGAAGAGCAGAAAGCGTCACGGGGAGCACCAACCACCCACTGAGCCCTTCATATTTATTTTATAGAGCTTCATATTTATTTAAGGCTTCCATACTTATTTATTTATCTCCAAAAGAGCAAAGGCCCCTGCGCAGTGGGTGCAAGAGCTCCCAGCCTCCATGCATGCAGACTTTGCCCAGCAGTGTGGGTTCATGGCTGGACCCCCCCCTCTCCCCTTACCACTGTTTCTCTTCTTTTGGCAGTGCACGGTGCGGCTGCAGCCGGCCAGGACTCCCAGACCATGCTGGCGTGCCTGCAGCGAACCCAGAACCCACCTGGGCAGCACCTGGCCTGTCCCAACCCCAACAAGGCACTGGAGCCACGCAAGTGTAAGTTCCCAAGGCTGAGGGGAGGGATTGCGTGCAGCATCGTGGGGCTGATGGGATGCTCTCAGGTCTGGGATGCTCCAAGGTCCGTGATGCTCCAAGAGCTGGGATGCCTTGAGGACTAGGATGCTGTGCGACGTTCAAAATCCAGGGTGCTCCCAGGCATTGGGATGCTCTGACGTGTGGATTTCTTGAAGATCTGGGATGCTCCCAGATGTAGGATGTTCTGATGCTCCCAGGATGCTCCCAGGTATGGGATGCTCCCATGTCCAGGGTGCTCTGGAGCCAAGCTGGTGCCTTGCTCTCAGCATCCCCAGGGCATGCACGCGCCGCTTGCTGCTTTGATGCTCCTTGTCTTATTGGAAAAGACATTTATTTAACTGATAATTAAAAAGAGCAGGAGAAGCGGGGGTGGGGGGGCTGAGGGAGGAAGAAGACAAGATAAGCAAATTAAATTGGGTCACTGGGGCTGATAAGTGGAACTTCAGAAAATCTCATGCAACTGCCTGCAAAGCACAAGGCAGACAATGTCCGGTACCTGCTTGCAGCTCCCAGACCTCCAGCCCCCACTCCCTCTTTTCTCTCCATCCCTTCCCCCCGTAATTACTTTCCCAGTTTTGCTGCAGCTCGCCTTCCCGACGAGCTGGCCTTTCAGATAAGCTGTAAACTAGTTACATTAAAATGGGTTCCAAAAGGTCACTCCAGTAAAGCACCTGTCTCTCCCAGCCTTTGTCTCTCAATCCAAACCATGATTAAATGTATATTTAATGAGCCTGCTTTAGGCAGGCGTGTTTGACCTCCCCGGCTGGGAAAGACGCATTAAGATTCTCAAGTGATGAATGTGTGTTTTAAAGAGGGGAGTGGATATTTTTCTGCTGGTCTCAGTTGGATTTTTAAACATTGCAGGCTGAAGACAAATCAGCTGCTAAAGCTCTGCTTGTTAGTGTGTGACAGCCCCTAGGCATTTGTTTAATGATCTGTATTTTCCTGGAGATGTTTTCCCCTCTACCTGGGCATCACCAGCACAGGGTGGCACCCAGGGGTACACGTGGGAGTTGGGGCTGTTGTGTTGGGGCACGGGGCGGATGGGACCCCAAGCACTTTGTGCCCAGGCACCATTGAGGTTTCGGTTCTCCGTGGCCTCGGTGTAGCAGGCGCAGCCCATGTGCTTGTGCTGAATCCGTGCTGCTCAGGTCTCTTCCCTATTAGTGTCTGGAAGGAAAATGAATGTTGCTCTTGTAAAATTATTCCTAATCCGTCATGCCTGAGCAGCAGCACAGGGCTGGCGCGAGGGCTGCGGCTCCCGGCACTCCTTGGTGCCATGTGCTAATGAGTGGAGCTGTGCCCTCAAGGCCAGGACCTGCAGTGCAGGCCCCAGTGGGGTGCAATGGGGACCCCAGGAGCGCAGCACCGGTTGTTCTGTGTTGTGTTTGCTGTGATGCTGAGGTCAGGATGCACCCACTTGTGCCTATAGTGCGCCCAGGGGTGGCTGAGGGCTGGGGACTGTCACAGCCCGTTTGGCATGGAGCACCACCCCATAGCCTGGTGTGGGGGATTCAGTGCTCCCTGTCATTTTCCCATCCTGCTGAAATGTCATTTCCCAGCTCCTGAAATGGAGAAGGTGCCGAAACAACACTGTCTGAGGAGCTGGAGCCTGAACAGTGGTGCTGCCATGCAGCAAAGCACCCTCAGCAGTGACGGCCACCCATGTCCCAAGATGGGTCCCCAGCCCCAGGATCCCCGAACGGCATTCCTGGCAGTAAGGGCAGCTTGCAGAGCTGCCACCACAACCGGGCCCAAGCAGATGGGGAGTGCACAGGCACTGGGGGCCCCCACCCCTGGGGCAGAACCACACTGTGGGGTTCATTCCCCCCATTCTCAGTGCGCACAGCTCATAGACACGTTCCCCCAGTGTGCTTGCCGCTGGCCAGGTCACCTTAATCAAAGTTTAGCTGACCGTATGTTTCCGCTCATTATGGGAAAATACAGCATGTCTCTCTCCTCTCTGCCTCCTGCTATTTCAAATTAAATTGCAGGTGACATTCAGGGCCACGCATCTGGTTTTGAATACAATTTTCCCTTCTTTATTTATGGCACCTGCGGTAAGCGGGGCAGGGAGGAGCTCGTCCCGCAGCGCCCGCCTGGCTATTCTGACAAGATAGCATTTTCTTAAAACGAGACACAATTTAGAAGTGCCTCTGATTACTTAATTTGCTCCTGAGTATCTCAGTAATTATCTTTATGGGTCTTATTTCTGTCCTCTGGCATTGTTTCTGTCGATATTAAATGAGTCTGGCTCTCGGCACATCGGCCGTCTGGCCCAGCACCACTGTGAAATCCTATTACCCTGCCGGTGCCACTGATTAATTTTTGTATTAATTTCACGTAGAAGGTGAGCGGATTCATTTTCCTGCCCATGATGGGAGCCAACAGTCCCAGCACCCTCGCCCCCTTGTTGTTCCCTGCACCCCACTCCCAGCACATGGTGCTCCGTGCTCCGGCACAGCCGCCTCCTATCATCCCACTGCATCCACTCTGTGTGATGGCACCATGATGCTCACAGCAGCAGCCAGGTTTTGTCACTGCTGTTGTGTTCTGGACGTTGCACTGGGACGGGGCCCCACTCCAGGAGGGAGTAGGAGCTTTGGAAGGAGCAGCATCCTTCAGAAAATATCACGTCCAATTAACTCCAGCAGGCTGCTCCCTTTTGATTTTATTCCGTGTGCATTACAGGAATCCTGAGCTTTATTTAAATTATAAATCAAATAATACCACTCTCAGCTTGGCCAAACTCTTTGCTTTTCTCGCTCTCTGCAGCGATGGCTTATATTTAATTAAGTGTTCCTTTCTGTGTGCCCACCTCCGGAGCTCACCGCGCTGCCGTCAGCTGGCCGGGCAGTGGGGGGCTGTGGGATGGGATCAATATTTTGCCAGGAGGGATGGGCAGCTCCTTGAGCTCTTCAGCTTTAGGACATGAACTCCCATTGCAACAACTCTCATTGCGTTGCCCATGGCAGGGTTGTCCGGGGGCTCGTGGTGCTGCAGCCTTGGGGCTGTGGGGTGCGAGATGCCCCAATGGACTGCAGGTCTGGCTGGGAGGGCAGCAGGCTCCATTCCTGCTGGATTTGTCCTACTGGTGCTTTCTTGACCTGCTCATTTGTGGTGCTGACAGCTGCAGGCTCGTCTCGTTATTCCCAGCTGCCCCATTACTGCAGGGGAGTCCTGGCTGGCTGGAAAGGTTGCTCCACTGCATCCCAGCTGCAAACAGGGGGATATTTCCCTGGCTCTGCTCACTCTTTCTACCCTCAATGTGGGCATTGTGGCTGCATGCCCTCACCTCTCTCTCCCAGTACCCACCAGGTTCACCAAAACATCCCCTTGGGGATGCTTGGCTCAGGGTCCCTAGGTCAGTGCAGTGCAGCACCTGGTGTCACAGTGCAGGGAAGATGGGGAGGGCCAAAGCAGTCCCTCTGAGCACTGCAGCCCGAGAGAAGGGGAGTGCTGTGTCCTTGCTTTGATGCATCAGAGGGCTGTGGAACAACCCCACCTGTTTCTCGCACATCAAGAGCTTTGCTGAGCTGTGTTTTCTCCCTCCTCCTCTGCTCCCTTTTTATTTTTTGCAGATGCCTTTTAGGAAGATGAGATAACGAGTGCCATTTGTTTGCCGAAGCCTGTTGTGGAACAAAAGGGGGTTGACATGCTCACATCAAACGCCACCTTGTGCTGCAAACGTCACAGCTGTAGGGTCGGATGCTATAGGGACAGCTTTGTGCTGTGCATGTGGGTCCCAAGCTGTTTTTGGGGCATTCCAAATGTCCCTGTGCACTATGGGACGCAACCATTGCAACTCACCTCTGAGTGATAAAACTCTTTAATTGCATATGGAATCAAACTGCATTGAATGGCTTCTCATTACACAGTTCTACTTACACCAAGGGCATTTTCATTAAAGTAGCTGCAGCTAAGCTCTGCTTTTGTACACACCCATAAAATATCATTTTAATTTCATGAGGGGTTACACATGAGTGAAATAAGATTAATTCTTTCATTTTCAGTTTCTGGAAGGGATCGGTTAATGATGGTTCTGTGTATTTATATACGTGCCATAAAAAAAAAAAAAGAGTTCAATTAACTGCCATGCCCAAAATGTGCTGTTGACTTGCACTTTCCCTGCCAGGAAATGCTGCAAAAACACTTTCGATCGGTCACGTGTGCGGGGGAAGATGGATGGGTGAGGGAGCTGTGAGTGGGCATGGGGTCACTCTCCAGGTGAGACCCCATGGTTGTCAAGGATGGAGCTGAGCCTGAACCTTTGTGTGCATTCAGCCTCTGATAACCCATCCAGTGAGTGATTTTTATTTGCATTCAGACTTTTCCTCATCACTCTTTCTCAGCTTTGCAGGGCTTTTTGCTACCTGTGCCTTAATGGGAACTGTAGGAGCTTCAGGAGCTTTGCAGTGGTCTCCATTGGTCACACCAGCCATTGGCATGAAAAGTCCAAGTTTTGAAACAGATCTTATGTTACAACGCTGTCATTGGCTTGCACCTGGCCCAAATAACAGAGAGTGAGGGGCTGGGGTGAACTGCAGGGCTGTGTACGGGTCCCTCCTGGTCCCATTGGTGGCTGCATGGTGGGATGGCATCTGGTTGGCAGTGTGTCAGCCATGGGATAGCACTGGGATGGCATCAAGATGACATTGGGTCAGCCAAAAGAGTGGCATTGAGATGGCATCAAGATGACATTGGGTCAGCCAAAAGAGTGGCATTGAGATGGCATCAGGATGGCACTGGATCAGCCATGGGGTAGCACTGGGGTGGCATTGCATCAGCCAAGGAGTGGCATTGGCTTGGCGTCACGATGACGTTGGGTCAGCAGTGAGGTGGCGTTGGGATGGCATCAAGATGACGTTGGGTCACCCAGAGGAGTGGCAGTGGGTTGGCAACAAGATGACACTGGGTCAGCAGTGGGGTGGCGCTGGGATGGCATCAGGGCAGCATGAGGGCAGCATCGTGGTGTCATGAGAGTGACATCAGGACGACCATCAGGGTGGCTTTGAGATGGCCATCAGGGTGGCCACTGGGACAGCGTTGGGGTGGCACCAGGATGCCATCGGATTCGAACTGGGGTGCCATCGTGGCGCTGTTGGGGTGCAACTGGGGAGCTATTGTGGTGCCATTAGAGCAACACAGAGGTGACATTAGCGTGTCCCCAGAGCCAGCATCCCCACGCCTGCTGGCCACGGAGCCGCGGCAGCGCGCGGTGCTAATACCTCGGCGAGGAGACAAATAGAAAGTGACACATGTGTGTGTAGACTGGTATTTGTGGTGACGCTTTGACTGCAGATAATAAAGTGCTCGCCCTGAGGTGATCCAATTCAGCAAACGCCTCGGCAAAGCCGCGCGCTCCTTCAAGGGAGAGAATAAAGGGGAGGAAAAAAGGCCCGTCTGAAATGACATGTCAGCCTAAAAAGGGAACGTGTTAATGGATGAATATCTCGGATGGCAAAGCCCTGCTCTTCCCTTTGTGCTTTGTCATGAATTTTGTTGTCTTTGCACATTACGGCTCCTGCGCGGCTGCCGCTCGAGGTTTGCCACCTACGTTTATTCAGATGGATTTCTCCAGCTATTATTCCTGTAGTTGTTTTTAATTTAAGACCTTGAAGCCAATGCGCATTTTTCTCTCACCGGGGGGCTCTGCTGGGGGAGGCTTTGTGCCAGCTGCGTGCAGAGCGGGGCTGGGGGCTCCCAGTAATGGGGACCCTTCAGCTGGGGAGCTCTTGCAGTTTGGGGTGCTCCTGCAATGGAGGGGCTCCTGCAAACAGGGACTTCTGCAAGCAGGGGATCTCATGCGTGGCAGAGCCCATACCAAGGGATGCCATGGGGCTGCCGTGCACCCCAGGCAGTGCCGGTGGGGGGCTGGGGACCAGGCAGGTGCAGACCTCCCCCGCTGCATCCGCCACGCGGCGGTGGCCTCTGCACCACCCATCCTGGGGACATGATCACCATAGAAACCGCTGCACTTCAAAGGGTGGAAAACGGCAAAATCCGACAGGGAAGGAAGGAAGGCCGTGTAACAAGGGCAGTGCCAGTGCAGCTCGGCCAGGGCAGCGTCCCCACGTGTCCCCGTGTGTCCCCCCAGTGCCAGCACGGTGCCACTGGTACCTATGAAGCTTTGTCAACAGGAACTTGGGACCCCAGCATCAGGGATTTGTGTATTTGTCAACACTCACCACGCTTTGTTTGTTTTCTTCCAAGTGTTGTGCAAATATTTAGGTTCTTAAAATCTGCTCGCTGTTTTGCAGAGAGAGAAGGGGACTGCCGGTCTATTTTAGGAGCTCTGAAGTCGCTGTGACTTCCCCACTACGTGGGAGAAAAGCGCCTCATCCCAAAGCTGGGTGAGCTCTGGGCTCTTGCAGAATGGAATTCCTTTTGGGAGGAAGGAGTGGAGCCTCCCCATGTCCCCGTGGGGTGTGTGGCAATAGCTGCTGCTGGCTGCTGCCACCGCATCCCTGCCAAGCCCTTGTCCCCTCCATGTGCTCCGAAGTCCTGCTTGTCCTCTCCCCAGCCTGCTGGGAATGCTTGGATGCAGCAGGTGCTGTGCTGAGCATCGTGCAGCCAAAAGCAGAGCAAGGATGCTGCTTTGGCTGGGGACATCCCATCACCATGGCACGGCTCCTCCAGTTTCTCTTGCCACTGGTGCCAAAGCGTTCCCATGCCTTTTGTCAGACATTTTGCACAGGCTTTGCCCTCGGAGCGCAGCAGGGCTGAGGCTGCCCCAATCCATAAACAAAGATTTATTTCGGATTGCCGCATTGTCAGGGCCCAGGTTTTAAATCTGTGTCTTGAACCGAATTTGGTGGCCAATTTGCTAAAGTAAAAAGTTGTTTAGCTGGAGGCGTAATCTTATAAGCCTATGCTGCCATTATAATGGCTTCTCATTTCTGCCTAGCTTTCCAATAATGCTTTGAGCAGAAGCTTGGAGTAATATAAAAAGCCATAGGATTATTACTGCAGGCGATGCATTTTCCATTTACAGTAATAAAATACTGAAGAAACAAAACAATTTAAAATTCCAATAAAATTCAAAACAAATCTTTGGCTGCTGAGCAGATTCAATTATTTAGCTGTTATTGAGTGCAGGCTGGAAAAATAGAGCAGGTCAGGGAGGGAGGGGGAACCCTAAGCTGGCCGTGTGTTGTCTTTATCTGGGGAGAAGGGGAGAGGAGGCAGGAGATGGCCAGTGGCACCCAGTGGGAGAGGCAGTCACCAATGGTGTTGCGAGGGTGGGAATCATAGAACTGCAGGACCATAAAGGTTGGAAAAGACCTCCAAGATCATCAAGTCAGCCTGTCACCACTGTGTCTGCTCAGAGAATCATTAAGATTGGGAGAGACCTCCAAGACCTTCAAATTCAGCCATCAGACCACCTTGCCTGTGTTAAGATTGGAAAAGACCACCGAGATCATCAGGCCCAACTGGCAGCCCGTCACCACCCTGCCCACTAACCCGTGTTGTGCAGGTTGCCCTTTCAGCCATTGCTTCCTCCATCATCCACATCCTCCTCCTCCTCCTCCTCCCTTGGCTGCGTGGATGAACTGCTCACCAGTTCAGCATGCCCAGTGCTGACCGCGGGGAGCAGAGGGGGCTGCACCACATGCCCCCACCTTCGGCATGACGTCCCCAAGGGTTCAGCTTCAAGAAGGGGGGGGGGAGAAAACTGCCAGCGGCCGGCGGAGTGTCGGGCGGGCTGTCTGTGCCTGACGGGTGACGGCGGTGCTTCGGGAGAGTTTGCATCTCGCAGTAATTACAGCCCGTTAGAAAGCAGTAATTACTCTGGAGAGGGGGAGCCGCTTACCAGCAGCGCGCACGAGCGCGCCAGGAACCTCTTGGAAATTGGTAGCTCTGTAATTTTCCCAGTGGGGGTTTGGTGCGTCACCCTGATATGTGACAACACACTGAATTTGTGACTTGTCAAATCCAACCCAGCTGGTGCGAAGAAGGCGACAAAGGAAGCTCCTGGCTCTCCCTCGGCTAGCTGGCAGCCATGCGTGGGGCCATCGGCGAGCGGTGATGTGTGGGGCGATGCTGCTGCTTCCATCCATCCCCCCTTTTCTGTTTTTAATTTTTTTTTTTGCTCAGAAAGGAGTATTCTCCTCCTCCCCTCCGTGGAATGGGTTCATTAGGGATTCTGCAAGTGTCACCAGCTAATTAGTGTCATGTTAATTGAGCATTCACAATGCTGCCACCTCCAAGGACAGCGGTGCTGGCGTGAAGGGGAATGCAGATGCGTGGTGCCCATGGTGCTCCTGGGCAGGTGCCCCCAGTCCCCACCGGGTCCCAGAACTGGTCATACTGGGTGGGTTTGCCCAGCATGAGCAATGCCCGTATTCAGCTGCTGGAGGCTGTAACATTAAATCCTGCTCAAACACCCTGGTTTTAATTGGCTTAATATACTCGTTAATAACAGTGTCTATTTAAGACACCTGTAAAAAGCCCATAACATTAACTTAATGGGAGAAATGGCCGGTGAACACTCTTCCATTCTGCCTTTTAAATTACTGGTGTGCCGCGTTAATGGAGAGGAAAGAGGTGGCCATCCATGGCCTCGCTCTCTGCGTCCCTGGGGATGCTCCCACTCCTCCATGGCTGTTGTACACCAGGGCCCAGGGGTGCGAGTGCCCCAGCACCCCCCTAAGTGCTGCTTTTAATGTCGGGCCTTGCAGGCACAAGGAAGGGTCCCTGGGAGGGCTCGGGCTCCGTGGTGGCACTTGGCATAGGGTGGGCTGAGGATGGCTGTTGGCTACCGGTCGTGCTGGCAACTATTTGGGGCAATGGCAGTGCTTAAGCCCTCTCCACACTGGGAGATGTGGGGATGTTTTGGGGAATGGGACAGTGGATAGACCCATAGGTCTAGACAAACCCAAGACAAACCCTTGGGGCCTGTCTCCTTTGCCTCCTTTTTAGCAATGTCAGCAATAACCATGGATGGAGGCAAATTCATGGGCACCGTGCAGGGGTCCCAACACAGTGCTGCATTAGGAACTGGAAGCCAACCCTACCCCCCACTGCACACATGTGCTGGCATGGACGTGCACACGCATGTGCAGATTTTAAACACCTAATTTATTCCATCTATTAGATAGATTTTGTAGATTTAATCATTTTCACAGTTGGTGGCTCATTGGATACTCAAGATAAACTCCAAATGAAAGTATAATGGGTACAACAAATGAGTTTTCACACCAGAATGGCAGAAACTTGCTTGGGAAAGAGTTTGAAAGGAACAAAAATATATACATATATAATTTTTTTTTCTGCAGTAGCTTTTGCTGACTACAGTAGGTTACCACAGTTAATTTCACCAGTTTTGTTCATCTGTAAAATTGCATAAAAGTGACATTTTTGTGCTCATTATAGGAACTGCTGATTTATGGCTGGTAAATGCAATGCTTTTCCATTTTTGGTGAGGTTCTCGTAGCAGCGCAAAGCACCCATGAAATTGCTTGTATAATGTAGTTTAAATCCAATCTCGGAGAAAGATTCCCCCGTTGGGTAAAGTGACATTTCCATTCTCCACACCGGGTTTATTTTAGGCCACTTAGAAGTGACTTTCTAAGCGCGAGGGGGCAGGTTTGTGCCGTGACCTCTTTTCCGTGGGGCGGGTGATGGCTGGAGAAGGAAAAGGAGGAGGAAAAGGAGGAGGAGGGGGTGAGGCGGAAGGAAGGCCGCGTGGATTGATGCTGTGCTTTGCTCCCGCAGGCGAGACGGCAGCGCCCATGCATTCCCCGCGCTACCCCAGCCCCGCCGAGCTGGACGCCTATGCACAGAAAGTGGCCAACAGCCCGCTGACCATCAAGATCTTCCCCACCAACATCAGGGTCCCACAGCACAAGCACCTTAACCGAACGGTCAATGGGTACGACACCACGGGGCAGCGCTACAGCCCCTACCCCGTGCACGCCGGCGGCTACCAGGGCCTCCTGGCCATCGTCAAAGCCTCCAGCAAAAGCGTGGTGAAGAACGCGGAGGGCAAGCGGACTAAGCTGTCGCCCGCTCAGGCCGGCGTCGCTCCCTACCCATCCTCAAGCACTTTAGCCCCGGGCCCCTCCTGCGCCGGCCCGCTGAGCTACCACCAGAAGCAGCTGGAGGGCCCCGTGCCTCCCACCGTGACGGTGGCGAGCTCGGCGCTGCCGCTGGCGGGCCGTGGCCTGGCGCTGCCGCCCTCCAACCTGCCCTCCATCCAGAGCATCATCTACCAGCTCAACCAGCAGTGCCAGGCCCAGGCCTCGCAGCCTGCCTGCCCGGTGCTGCCGGCCGCCCACCCCAGCCCGGCCAAGCACGGCGCCTTCCCCGCCGTGGCCTCGGCCTACGCCGTGCTGCCCGAGTGCCGCAAGGGAGCCGAGCTGCCGCTGGGCTCCACCCCGGCGCTGGGGCCGAAAGCGGGGCTCTACCCTGACGGCGTGGACTACCTGCTGTGGCAGCAGAAGCAGCAGCAGCACCTGCGGGTGTACAGCGGGGGCAGCGGGGCCCTCAGCAAGTCGCCCGAAGCCTGCGCGGCCGCCTCGCGACCCTATGGGCCGGCAGGGGAGAAGGTGAGCTCGTCGCCATTGAACTGCATGCACGGCAACTTCGCGGTGGGGCAGTACTTCGTGCCGCCGTGGAACAGCGTCCTGGTGACCCCCACCAGCGACTGTTACAACCCTCCACCTGAGCTGGGCCCCATGCCACGCGAGCTCGGCGTGCCGCCGGCCGAGGGGCTGCCCAGCAAGGCGCTCTGCAACACCTCCATCCTCAGCAGCAGCCTCCAGTCGCTGGAGTATCTCATCAACGACATCCACCCGCCCTGCATCAAGGAGCAGATGTTGGGCAAGGGCTATGAGACCGTGTCTGTGCCAAGGCTCTTGGACCACCAGCACGCCCACATCCGCCTGCCCGTCTATAGATAAGGGACGGCTGCTGCTCTTCCCAAAGCCAGGATGGCGGCCGGGCCCTCCGGCACCGTGAGGCCGTTGCGGGGTGATGGGGTTGGTTGGGGGTCGGCTGCCGACACGGGTCCCGCAGGTACTGGCATGGAACCGGGCTCATCGAACCGCGTGCGCCCGCTGGAAGCCAAGGATGAAGGAATGCTTGTCTTATATAGCTCAGAAATCATTTTATTTCCACGAATGTGAACAGGGAATCGCTACGAGTTGCTGCTATCCAGGGAGAGGAGCTCCGCTCTGCGCACGGCGCGGGCTGCAGGCAGGGTCCCGCCGCGCTCACCTTTAGCTGAAGTCCATAACTTGCACTGCTTTGATTAAAGCTCATAACTGGGGACAGCCTGGACGCTATTTAAGAAGAACACTTGAAAACTTGAACAGATTTTTCTTTTTTGTTGCTTTATTTTTTCATTTTTTCAGTTGCACACAGCGCGCATCTTGGGTGCCGGCCAATGAGGGGGACGAGCCCGCGGCGCTGCGCCCATGGTACAGATTTCCAAGGTTTTGGGTTTTTTTTTTCTTTTTTTTTCTTAATTTCTTTTTTTTTTTTTTCCCTTCTTTTTTTTCCCCTTCTTTTTATAACTGTCTGTTATAGCTTTGTTCCGTTCTAGAGGCAGACAGTATGTAGGACGACGTTCAGTACTGCATCCAGCCATCGCACCACGGTGGGATCGTGGCGTGCTTCTTTTCTTCATCTTTTCTTTCTTTTTTTTTAAGCAGTTCAGAAATGCTCATTTTGCTGCGTTATTCACTCTGTGTCATTATGTGCTTAATAGGTTTATTCATTTACAAAAGGCATCACAAAATGTTTTTTGGTGAGACAAGGAAACAGAAACACTACCCTGAGGAAACCCAAGGTGATTGTGCTCAGAAAAGAGGTACTGTATCCCTGAAAGGCCTGTTCAAGCACTAAGTGCATTTACAAATCTCTGAGAATGTTTTTTTTTATACTAAAATCGACCATTATATTCTACTGTGAGAAGTGCTGTCTGCACTTATATTGTTTTAAAAATGAGAGAAAACGAACGAGAGGAAAAAAAAAAAAAAAAAAAGAAAAAAAAAAAAGAAAAAAAAAAAAAAAAAAACCAAACCACAAAACCTGCAAGCTGTGTGTCCGGATGGTGTTTTTCCCAAAGTAAAACCAGGATGTCACTGGATGTGTGCTCTGGATTTTGTTTGCTTGCTGTGGCTCTCACCCAGCCCTGTAGGGACCCGCTGTCCCACCCCCAGCCTGACTTCACCCCGCAGATTTTAGGGCACGGAGGGGCACTTATAAATAACCTCCTAACGATGCTGAGCTGTTAATCCTGCCGTGGCACCGGGTGAGATGCACTCGTGTGCGGGGCGTGCGCCAAAGCCCCAGGATTAGGGGCCATGGCCCCACGTGCACTGGGGCAGCGCTGAGCCCAGTGGTGTCCCCACTCGATGCCATCAGCTGTGTGGCACTGGTGGCACTGCTCCCCACCTGTGTGATGTTATTTGCCCCATAAAGTTGGCAGCTTCCCCCCGTGAGTGACAAGCAAGTTGCATATTAGGGTATGGGTACAAATGTTCTTCCCAAACCTACCAGAATGGGGATGGGGACAGGGATGGGCCACTGCTGCACCAGGCAGCTCCATCCATTTTGGTCGCGCTCTGCCATATGTATTTGTGGGGACAGCAAGCAGGCATAACAGCCAGTCAAGGCAAAAAGGAGGAACTGGGACAAAAGGACAACCAGAGGGACAGCAGTGTCCCATGGGGACACCCAGCAGTGCCACAGCCCGGCCGTGTGCCGGATGGAGATGGGAGGGAGCGCTCTGAGCTGTGCCCCAGCACATGGGGCAGTGCCACCTCCATGGCAGCACCGTCCCTGCCTGTGGAAGGGCAGCTTTTCTGCTCTGCAAATATCTTCCTATTAAAATAATCATCATAATTTTTGAGGCAGGCGCACGCCAGGCTGATATTAAACTTCGCAGCCGCCTTTGCTGGCTGAGAGCGAGGAGGAGAGACAGGCAATATAAATGGCACGGCTGCGAAAGGACTTAAAAAAACCCATCTCTCATTTTGATTGATATTAGCTTCACAAATTAAGCTTTAGATTTATCTAAAAATAAATTTGCTTCCTCGCTCCGCGTGCTGGATGACAAGTGCTTTTCTCTTCCCTTTGTTGGGTTTGTCATCGCCGGCACGGCAGCGTGGGAGGCGGGGGCTGCGCCCAGGGGGCTGCGGGGCACAGGGGGGTGGGCGTGAGGCAAACACAACTGTATGGGAACTGCTGAGTCCTGGCCTGAAACGCTGATTGAGCAGCTGGGGAGAGGACCAGGTCAGCCCTGGGAGCGCAGGTGGAGGCAATTCATGTGTGTGACCAGAAGGGGTGGAGGCTGCCTGCACCTCTCAGACCTCATTTAAGGCTGACTGCCACTGGGGAAGGATCTCTTTCTGGAGATTCCCTTTTAGTGAAGCTTTTGTCTATGAACCTGGAATCTTCTGATACAGGTGAGCAACCTTCTCTTCCTTTATGGTACCTTCCTATGGTGCTTCTGTCATCACACCTTCGTTGTAGCTCCTTTCCCATTGCATTGGTCTGTCCCATTGCTACTCAAGCCCTGAGTCACCATCCATGGAAGGAGCACAGGGATGATCCTATGATGCCACCATCATGGCCACAGTGTCCCTGTCGCCAGCAGTATGGCTGTGGTGACCACACTGACAGCGCTGTAGCCACAGTGTCCCCATCACCATCATGGCTACAGTGTCCTGATTGCTACCAACGCATCATGGAGTGCATCTCATAGGAGCCTAGGCCTGCTCCTCACACAGCCCCTAAAATCACACAGCCCTTACGTGCACATCTCTGCACCTTTAGGACTTGAGAATTTGCATGGGGAGAGGGAAATTGGTTTAATTCCCATTGCACTGGGAAATCCCAGCCTTGCAGCCAGGAGAGTGTTGAAGCTGGGGATGTGCTGGGCAGCATGCCTGCACGGCTGTGGGGATAGCGAAGTGCATCGTTCCCAAATACTGCCTGGCACGAAGGATGGAGCCTGCCTGCAGCTGCATCATCCCTGCAGCTCATCTTGTGATGCAGCCTGAGCCGAGAGCAGAACGCTCAGATCTTCCTAAGTAGTGATAATGAAACTTCTTCATTCCCTCACCCTGGGGAAATACTTAAACCGCGGTACGAGAGATATATGTAAATCACATTTAAGCGGAGACGGCACGGTTAGAGCTGACGGCGAGCCATCGGGTTCGAAGATGGAGCGTCCCCTTTTCTGCTCCATCATTTGCTCAGCGAGCTGCGCTGCTGTGCCACCGTGTCATCAACCATCAGCGGCCGCCAAATCGGCGCTCCTGAGCCGTGCGCTCCTCCAACGCCGGGAGCGGCATTGAGCGGAGTGTGCTGCCCTCCGGTGGGAGCGGGGAGCTCTGCGAGAGGGGCTGCGCTCAAGGGGTCGGCACTGCGGAGCGGCACGGCAGGCACTGCGCAGCTCCCCCGTCCCTCCCGCAGCGACATTCTCCCTGCTGAGCCCGCTCGACGACACGAGGCCGTGGTGGCTGCTCTTTATTACGAAATAAATAGTCGTATAAATCTTGTGCAAAACAAACAAAACAGCCCAAAACCTTGGGGCAAAAGCCATTGGCCGTGGTGGTTGGTGGCAGGGGAGCTCCCAGCACCCAGCTGCTGGCACAATGGAGACAATGGTGCAGGAAAGCAAAGCGGTGGCACCGGAGACACCAGAATTGCCAGGACTGGGAGCCCAATGGGTTGGGCACTGCAGGGATATTGGCTGCACAAATCCCTGAGGAACAGACACACGCTGGTGCTGTGGGGCCAGGCAGAGTCCATGCTAGAGCAGGGAGCTGGGGTTCTGCCCGTGCCGTCACTCCCGTGCCTCTGCTGTGCCCATGGTCCCCAATGGCACAACCACATCCTCCGTTGGGCAGCTCTTGTTGAGCTCCACCACACGTGGCACCACCGTTGACCATCGATCTGCAGAAATGGAACACTCAGAGCCCCCAGCTCCATACTCACCTGTGGGCCCGGGGCTGCCCCCACCCCGCTCACCTCTCCGCAGCCGCCCCACGGTGTGAGAGAAGCCATAGTACTGGTATGTATCGCTCTTGCCCGGGTCCTCACTGATGATGCCCAGGTTCTGGTTCCAGTGGGACCAGTTCACCTCATCCACCCTGTGGAGAGAGCAGAGCTCCATATCCCCTTGTCCTTGTGCCATCCCGATACTTGTGATGCGAACCATTTCACTCTAATTAGGCTTAATAAGATCCCAACCTCACCACACCTTTCGGATCATGATACTGCAGGTCACTGCTCTTACCTGAAGCACCAGCGGCGGTCGGGGGTCCCATCAGTGCCCTTCCCCACGGTCACCATCTCCCCAGAGCGGAATGCTCTCCGCAGGAAGAGAGGGAAGGAGCGCTCGATGTCCAGGATGGTGGTGGCCCACTGCCAGGGACACCAGGGACCCTTCAGCCCCCTGGGGATGGAGGCATCAGGGTCCCTCGCCAAGGTGGTCATGCTCAGATGGAGGTTGGCATGGTGACCCCATGGCGTGGTGACTCTATGGCATGGTGACCCCATGGAGCTTGGCACTCCCAATGCTGTACCTGCAACTTCCAGATGTGTTTGCTCTCCTTGGACACCTGGCCCACAGTCTCACCCATGAGGGCGATAAGCATGTTGAGGAGCAGCACGAAGGTGAGGATGATGTAGGTGACAAGCAGGATGATGAAGACGCCTGGGTACTTGGCGCTCTCCAGCATCTCCAGATCACCCATGCCAATGGTGAGCTTGAAGAGGTCAAGCAGGAAGGTGCTGAAGGTCTGACTGTCCCGGCACGAGGGGTAGGTGGGCAGCGTGCAGTTAGAGTGCTCCTCACTGCAGGACTCGCTGCTGGGACACGGGTTCAGGAGGGACACCAGTGCTGGGGAGGAGGGACAGAGACAGAGTCTTCAGGGGCAGCACGAGGATAGAACACCATGCTGCCAGGCCTCCTCCTTCTCCATTGCAGGAGGAGAGCCTCAGGAGCCCTACCTGAGGCATAGCCAATCATGAAGAGCAGATAGACGAGGAGGAAGCGGAACAAGTCTTTGAAGAGGATCTGCAAGTGACAGAGATGATGGCTTCGAGCCCCATGCTGAGGGCTGCAGCGGTCCCACAGGGAAAAGACCACTTGGGTAACCCAACCACCTTGGGGAAGACCAGAAGATCCCAACACTACTGCACCTTCTGGATCATGATGCTGTAGGTCCCTGTCAGCTTGAGCCCTCGAGTGAAGTAGAGTGCGTTCATCCAGCCCAGGACCAAAGCAAAGACCATGACAGCCAGGTAAGCTTCAACGCCGCCCAAGTACAGCCCTGCCGTGATGATCACCAGCACCGAGTAGATGAAGCTGCAGAAGGGCATAACTGCTGCCAATAACTGACCCTTCAAGTGGAGGGTTGCTCCAACCCCAAGAGGTCCCCTGGGCATCCCTGCTTACTAGAGCAGCTGGAATGAGCCATCGATGAAGAATGAGTTCACACCTGGGCACTTCTTCATGAAGAGATCTTTGATCTGGAGAGAGAGGAGAGGTTGAAGAGGGGCTGGGTTCCAGTGTCTGGAGGGCACTGCAGTGGGACCGGTGCCTGGGGACATGGGGGTATCACCACCCGCTCCTCACGGCACTGACATTGGAGAAGAAGAAGAGGATGCCGGTGAGGAGGGTGATGATCTCCCCGGCCAGCCGCAGGTAGTCGATGGTCGTAGTGTAAGGGTATGGCGGCTGTGGGGAGAGCACACATCATCAGCACAACTCCAAGCCCACGCTCTGCCCTGTGTTCCCTGGCACTCACAGGGCCTTCCATGGGGCGGTAGTAGGCGATGAGAGTGAAGATGATCATGGCACAGAGGTAGGAGACCACGCTGATGTAGAAGGAGACGGCGCCGAACTTGCGCCACTTGTCGCGCAGCAGTTCGTTGATGGGCTCCACGGCCAACATCTCATGGCGGTTCTGTCGGGACGGGGGCAGCTCAGCGGGGAACCCAGCCCTGCGTCCCCATTCCCCGTTCCCTGCGCACCTCAATCTTGCTGTTGTAAACGAGGATCTCCAACACGGACACCTCCTCCCCACAGGTATCCAGTGAGGAGAGATCATAGAGTGAGGAGTAGACGGGGCCGTATGCCCAATCCTTGAACTTGCGTGAAAGGTGCCGGACGTCCTCATCTGCAATCTCCCGGCGGATGATGTGCTGGAAGATCTGATGGGGGGTCAGGGGGATGGATGGCCATGGGTTGCACCCATTTGTACCCGTGGCCACCCATCCTTGGGTGCTGGGATGCTGCAGCGATCCCCACATTGGTGTAGTTTGTGCATTTTTAACCAGCCCACATCGTGATGGCGAGCAATGGAAAAGGACAGGAGGTAGAGCCACCGTCCCTGGAGGTGTTCAAGAAAAAGTTAGATAGATGTGGCACTGAGTGACATGATCTCAGTCACAGGCATGGCTTAATGGTTGGACTCAACGATCTTAGTGGTCTTTCCAACCTTAATGATTCTATGACAAGATGTGCCAAGGCCAGGGGTTAATTAGGGAAAGGATGGGACGCAGAGAGGGTTTAATTAGCCACATTTCCCAGAGCGCATCCACCAGCCCCGCCATTGCCATACCCCGATCTTGCCGGTCTTGGCAGCCATCATGAGTGGAGAGAGGCCATCGTTGTTGAGCAGGGCCTCAAGGTTGGTGTCAGGGAATAGTTTGGCACATTTGATGAGGAGCAGGTCGTACATCTTGGTGACAAACTTGGTGTTCTCGCGGGTGTTGTCAGCGATGGCAACCAGAGCATGCAGCACGGTGTTGCCACGCGAGTCCTGGCGCCGCAGGTCTGCCTGCTTGTGCCCGTTCTCCGTCAGGTAGTGCACGATGTGGGGCTGGTTGGTGCAGGCAGCCAGTGAGAGGGGCAGCTCTCCTGCAGGGACAGCATACGATTGGGGACAGCCCTGGTGATGCGGCTGTGGGGCTGCCAGTCACCTCTGCTCACCAAAATAGAAGTAGCCGCCCTCATCCTTGGGCTGGAAGAAGCGACCACGGGCCTGGGCGTGCACATCGGCCCCCTTCTCCACCAGCAGCTCCACGTAGTGCTTGCAGCGGCGCTCAATGGCGATGTGCAGCGCTGTCTGACCTGCATTGCATCCCTGTCACCGTGCTCCCCATCACACCCCAAGATGAAGACCCCTAGATTCCATACTGCCCCCCGCTTTGGTTCCTGAGACTCCCAAAAGCCCTCCATCCCCGCACATTCCTAAGCTTTGCTGGGGTCCTCCATCTTCCCCAGATCCCTACTGCTTTGGTCCTTAAACCTCTCCATGGTCCCCCCCCATGGTCCCCACACATCCCCTACCTCGGTAGTAGACATCACGGAAGGGCGAGTTGATGAACTCCCGCATGTTTCCCGTCTTCTCGGCGATGTCCAGGAGGACGGGGATGGTGTCATTTTGGCCTGCACTCAGGTTAAGCAGCGCCTTGGGCAGGCACGTCTTCCCTGTTGAGGGCTCTGGGAATGGAAGGCGGTGAGACCCTAACCCACCAAACACCCAGTGCCTCCTAGGTGCTGCCACTGGGGCTGTACATCTCTGTCCCTATGGGGACATGGGGATTGCTGGTGGCTCTCCGTGGCCATGGTACAGCAGGGTCACAGGGCAGCCCACTACAGGCTCTCACCTCGGAACTCCTCATCCGTCAGACGCTTCTTGTGGGTGAGCAGGAAGGAAAGGAGACCCTCCAGGCCATCTGGGGACCCCCGGGAGACAATATCAAAGAGGATGGGTCTGTTGAACACCTTGAGGACAGGTGGTGGGTTGGGAGCCGGCCCCTTGGTGCCAGCCACCGGCTTCCTGCAACAGAACAGCACAGCTGCACGCTGGAGTCGATTCCTTCATCTGTGCCATCTAGGGTGCTCCTAGGGTCACCGCACAAAGCAGTCATGCAGTGATGATCCCAGCGGCACCCACGGGGCCAGGTGCTGCTGCGTTTTGTGGAGCACCAGGGATGGGATGCAGCCCACAGGCACGCAGTGCCAACGGGTCCCCCCCAGGTGTCGGGCACAGACCGGCATTGTGCGCCCGGCTGCGGGCGGGCCCCCCCCCCCGGCTCCGGTTTCCTGACGCAGCCCCAGGGCGGAGGCTCTCCTGAAAAGCCCTTTCATGCCAGGGCAGCCAGACGCCCGCACCGGAGGGAGCGGCCGCGGCACAGAGCCCTCTTTCACAGCATAGGGAAGGGA